TGAGCACCTGCATGGTTAGACATCACGTCTCACCAGCTCCATAAGGCAGTCATCACACTGTGCTCAAGTCCACTTGCTCTGCACAGCACCAGAGATGATCTCTCAAGAAGCCTTGGACTCCAGCTGGAGTGAGAAATTGCTCTTGGGTGACAGGAGAGTCAGTCCTAAATCTTACCCAGACTTTTCAGTCCCATCACCATTCCCTCCCAGAAAAGAACTTCAGGAGGAGAGGAACAGTGAATAACAGTTTTATTTAGAGATTATGAGGAAGGAACAAGAGAGCAGAGAGGGTACATGTCAGGTAGATTTTGTACCCTCCCTGCCTGCCTTTGCAAAGTTGGTTCTATAGGTTTTCCCTTAAGCTGCCCCCCATAAGGGCTTTCTACGTAGATAAAAGTCTGTGTCTATGGCATCATTAAGGAGTGGGATCGGAGCTTTAGGGGGTCCACCTTCAAGACTTCATCACAATCCTTTGCTCCTGCTGGAGCTTCTCTCTGGAGGGAGATCCAGCCTTCTCTGGGCCTGTGCTGACATGGGAGTTTTATCAGACAACAGTTTCTGTGTCCACAAAAGAGCTCCAACCATAATGCTTTTAGCAGCTTTAGGGCTAGTGACTGATTTGCTCGAGCGGGCCCAGTAACGTCTCCACTGGAGACTTTGTTGTTACTGTGTCTGGCGTATCGAATACGTCACGGGGAGCTTGCCAGGCTCTGCCGTGCGGGCGAGATACTCTCGGTAGCTTGCCGGGCTCTCCGAGAGGGGCGGAGGAATCGAACTCGGGTCGGGCATGTTGGCTGCGTGCAAGCCAAATGCCCTACCGCTGGAGCAATAGCACAGCGGGTAGGGCGCTCGCCTTACAAGCGGCCAACATGGCCGACCCGAGTACGATTCCTCCGCCCCTCTCGGAGAGCCCGGCAAGCTACCGAGAGTATTGGATATGCCAGACACAGTAACAACAAAGTCTCCAATGGAGACGTTACTGGGCCCGCTCGAGCAAATCGACGATCAACGGGAGGGCCTTTACCTTTACCTTTACCTTTTAGGGCTAGTGACAGAGCAATTTCTTCATAGCCCATATTGATTTTATTACTTACCAAGAATTCAATGCCAGTCCCCCTCGTCCCCCATCTACCTCCCTACTTCGATGACAACAGTATTTGAATACAAAATAAGTTAAACTAGTTTTAGTGGTTTTGTGTGGGGGTGTGGGGGGTGAAATTGAAGTTAATCTGCTTTTTATTAGCAGGAAAATGTTTAATAATGGTCCAATCATGGAAAACTATGGAAACAATACCTAAAAAGGATGATTTATTTTTTCTTTTTGGGTCACACCCGGTGATGCACAGGGGTTACTCCTGGTTCATTCACTCAGGAATTACTCCTGGTGGTGCTCAGGGGACGATATGGGATGCTAAAAATCTAACCCAGGTCGGCCAACACCCTACCTACTGTGCTATCTCTCCAGCCCCTAGAAAAGACAATTTTTCTCTAGATGACAAAGATACATCTGACACAAAAGGATGATCATAACATGCTCAGTAAAAAATCCAGCTGAAGACGAAGAGCACCAATGAGCTCCGGGACACAGTTATTTGGGGGAAGAAAAGAAGGCCACGCAATGAAATTTTAAGCACAGGACAAGGCCTCGGCTAGGAGAGGCGGCTGTGTGAATTATGAGGCACCCATGTTATTTTTGAAAAGTCAACCAACATTTCTCCAGAACAGGCGGAAAACTTTAACTCCGAATGTCCTTTTCTCTTGGAAACACCACTATCAACGGATGTGTAGTGCTTTTGCCTTTGTCCTTAAGGGTTATCTGAAATGAATGAAAATTGGACGGGGCTGGGGGGGGGGGGGGTGTTGATTAATCAACGCAAGAATTGATTCCAAAACCTCAATTCCTTTCAAGTGGAATATAGAGATAGATGGGGGGGGGGGGTTCTAGTGGTGGTGGCGCCTCTGCTCAGAGGTTTGCTGCTGCTGATGCTCCAGGGTGCAGTGCTCCGAGACCTTGCAGCTGGGCCTCCCATGTGCGTTCCAAGAGCTGTCCTCCACAGCCTCTAAGGAGGCTCTGAAAGGTGCCAATTAACCTCAAGCGTCAGCTTTGTTTTTCCACCTGCAGGATGCCTGCCCTTGAGAGTCAGGCCAAGCAAGACCCTTAATGGAATCACCTGGGAAATTCTACCAGGACGCCAATAATAATAATAATAATAATAATAATAATAATAAGAAGAAGAAGAAGAAGAAGAAGAAGAAGAAGAAGAAGAAGAAGAAGAAGAAGAAGGCTGTAGCGATAGTACAGCGGGTAGTGACAGAGCAATTTGCCTTGTACGCAGCAGACCCGCGTTCAATACTCAGCATCCCATATGGTCCCCTGAGCACCGCGAGGAGCAATTCCTGAGTGCATGAGCCAGGAGGAACCCCTGAGCATCGCCGGGTGTGACCCAAAAAGCAAAAAATAAAAATAAAATAAAATACTGTTGTAATTGAAGTAGGGAGGTAGATGGGGGACATGGTCTCCTCCCCTCGGGAATCGCTCACTGCCAGGAGGAAACACACCAGAACGCCAAAAATAATAATAATAATAATAACAAAAATAATAATGGGGCTGGAACGATAGTACAGCGGGTAGGGCGTTTGCCTTGTACCCGGCAGACCTGGGTTCGATTCCCGGCATCCCATCTGGTCCCCTGAGCACCGCCAGGAGCAATTCCTGAGTGCATGAGCCAGGAGGAGCCCCTGAGCATCGCCGGGTGTGACTCAAAAAGCAAAACAAAATAAAATAAAATAAAATACTGTTGTAATTCAAATAGGGAGGTAGATGGTTGAAAACCCCGCTCCTTCGCGAAGGAGACCCCAGGCCTGGGGGCGTCGGGAAGCATGCGGGGGGACGCCCAGACAAAGCTGTGATCTCGACGCGGCAGCTGCTCGTCGGCCGGTCCCTTTCCTCTGTCACCCCGCAGGCCTCCCAGCGGGGCCGGGGCCGCCACCTGGTGACGCGGAGGACGCGCGGCGGCGCCCGCGGCTCCTTTAAGGTGACTCACGTGGACGCTGTGTTGTGCGCGCTCAGCTGGGGCGCGGGGGGGAGGGGGAGTGAGAGCCGGGTGGGGGGGAGGAGGGAGGAGGCCGGGGGGGCGGGCCCTCAGTCGCTCCTCATTGGCCCGCGCGGGAGCCGAGGCCGCGTGCGATTGGCTGTGCGAGTCGCGGGGCGGGGCGTGTTGCCAAGGCGCAGCTCGGGCTCTGCGGCAGCGTCTGGGGCGGGGTGGGCCGCGCCGCCCGGAGGAGAGGCAGCGGGGGCGGGGGAGGGGGTGGCGGGGGAGGGTGCGCCGGCGAAAGGGGCGGGTCCCGGCGGGAAGGGCGGGGCTCGGGCGCCGGGGGCGGGGCCTGAGAGCTGGCAGGGCGCCGGGGGCCAACCGGGACGGCCGACGGCGCTGGGGGGCGGGGCCTGGCCGGGTGAGCGACGCCGAGGCCCGAGCGGCGGGAGGCGGGGCTAAGGCCGGGGCCTGCCTGGAGCTTCGCGAGCCGCCGGGCGACCGAGGGGCTTCGTCCCGCCGGGGGTGAGTGCGGCGGCGGCGGCGGGGCGGGGGGCGAGGTCGCAGCAGCAGCAGCAGCAGCAGCAGCAGGAAGTGCCGCGTCCCGCTCGCGCTCCCGGGGCTGGGGGTCCCCCGCCCGCCGCCGGCCCCGAGCCTCAGGGCGGGCCCGGCCGGGGCCGCGTCAGACTGACGGGCCGGGCGGCTGTGCTCTTTGTGAGGCCCGCAGCCCGGCCCGGGGGTCGCCGCCGCCCCCGCTCGCCCCCTCCCCCGCCGACCACCCTCCCCCCCCCCGGGTCCCGGCGGCGGAGGGCGTGGCGCGACTGTTGGGGCGCCGCGGGCCGCGCGCTCAGCTGTTTCCGGCCTGTTTGTTGTGCCCGAGGGGGCCCCGCCGCCGCCCGCCGCCTCCCATTGGCCCGCGCCGTCACGTGGGCGCCGTCAGCTGGGCCGGCCCGGGCGGGCAGGGAGGAGGGAGGAGGGAGGGCCGGGGGCTCGCGCGGCCGCTGCACCCGCTGCACCCGCACGCGCCCCCTTTGCGGCACCCCCGGGCAGGTGAGTAGGACCCGCGGGCGGCCGAGATCGGGCCGCTCGGGGCGCGTGTTTAGTAATCAGCCCCGTGCCAGGGAGAGCGGCCTCCTGGCGGGGGGCGCGGGGAGGGAATAGGTTGGGCGGGGGAGGCGGGAGGGAGCTCATTTATTTATTTTTTTTAATTTTTTTAATTATTATTTTTTTCCTTCTGTCTACCGACCTGGGCTGGTCATCGGAGGATTTGTTTTTTATTTCTTCCCCCTTTGGATTTTTTTTTTTTTCAATCCGGGTTTTCTTGCCCGCTGGAAAACCTGAAAGTAACGGCAGGAAAACCCCGTGTTTTGTTTTGTGTTTTGGGTTGTTTTCTTTTTTTTTTTTTTTTTTGGTGGGGGGAGTGGAGGGAAACGTGTTGTGCTGGTGCAGTGAGGGGGGGGGGGGGACAGATGAGGCAACTTTTGCACAACCCAGTGCAAACCGCATTGCAGCCGACTGACAGCCTTGGAAGGATTTCCAGGGCGCATCTTTGTGCCAGGTGCCCAGGGGGGGTTTTCGGGGATTCTTTGCCCGAGAGGTTATCGCTTCCCCGGCCTGGATTAGAGACGAAGGAAAGCAGCGAGAACTAATCATGATCTTTTCTCTAGAGACTTGTGATTGCGAAACAAGTCGGAGACCAGTGAAATTTGCATGACTGTGCTGGAGTGAGATACATGACAAGGAATGAGTGTTCCCAGCCCAAAACTGGGGCGCAGGGAGAACACTGGGCAAGAGTGGAGTAGGAAGCGTCCTGGACCGGGGTGCCATCGGTGATCAGGCTCAGAGAGAAGAGGTTTAACGTTGCAATCTATTGGACCCAAGCCCAGGAGGCAAGAGAGGCCGGGACCCATACAGAGAGAGGAATCTCACTCCCTGAGCATCTTCCAGAGTCCCAGGATCTCTCTGGGCTGGGTGCTGGAATGTCAGGTAGACTGTACACGCCTTGGGGAGGGCAGATGTCCACCTTTGTCATACCCTTAAGCAGCCCCGTGTCCAGTTCTGGCCTGCTGGTCCACTTAAAGTTTATCTGTAGCGAATATCTTATCCGTAGGAAAAGAATATGACGAAAAACGGAGCAGTAAGTTATTTAACTTCATATGGGGGTGGGGGGGGCTCAATGAATTGAATTTTAGCAACTTTTTTTGGTTTGTTTTTTGGATTTGGGGGACCACACCAGGCAATGCCCAGGGCTCACTCCTGGTTCTGTACTAGAAGAATCACACCCTGCAGTGCTCGGGGGGACCAGATGTGATGCCAGGGAATAAAATCCAGGACTGCTTGGACCCAGGGCAAGAACTCAGTTTGTTCTACTATCTCTTCTGGCCCAGAAACTTTTTTTAAATTTTTTTTAAGATTGGTGCCTGCTCGAGGAAATCGATGAACAACAGGATGACGGTGATATAGGGAAATCATGTGGTTTCTCCAGATTATACATGGTTGGAGTAGAGCAAACTTTCCCCAAGACTTTCTGTCCTCTTTTTCTTTGGCTCTACTTCAACAAGAGAAGCCGTATAGATTTAGAAGCGCAAAAAAAAAAAAAAAAAGACAATACTTGAAATTAAATCCACAAGGAGGATGTAAAGAATTTATACTACCCTCCCAAGAAAAGTCTGTGACACACGAAGCTAGCCCTAAATATAGTCTTGAGATGTGAAGACAGTGCTGACGTTTTGTGCCAGAATGTCACATTAGATGTTACAGAGCCATCCCTGCAGGCTATCTAGACCAGGATTCTCTTTCTTGGTAGTCTGGTGTGGTAATATCCGGGTAAGACGTGACCCAAGCCTGCGCTGTGGCAGGAACAGAGTGCTTGACCCCGCCCCCCCTCCCCCGCCTGAGTCAGGAAACCAGACAGTTTAATGATAACCCCAGTCCATCCAGTGACAGGTGTTTTTGATGCATACGAGCACACCGCAACAAACATCTCTAGTTTGCTTTGCCAGAGGTGTTTGGGGGAGATTACCCAGCAGATTGTTTCGCTGACTCATCAAGTGACATGACAAGGCTGATTTTTTAGTGATGACTATTAATAAAACTTGGCCCTGTCAATTTGGCGAGCGGATTGGCTTTGTTAAGGGATTCACAGATAAATGGATCAGGGTAATGAATTACTGAACAAGACGAAAGGTTTTTATGGGCAGAAATAGGGCAGAACAGGAAGGCTGTTCGCAAGAGGAAAAAAAAAGGGTTTCACAAATTGCTTTGCTAGTTTTATTAATCAGGCGATTCTAAACTGATGGTATTAAAATTACGTTCTTGGGTGGTAAACCACAGTTGGGTTAGGCATTGGGCCTTGGTGGGGATTGAACCCCGTGTTTCACAGTTACAAGGCAGCTGTTCTCTAGTACAGAGCTACCTCTTTGGCTCTCCTCCCCCCCTCCCCTTAGTAATTATGGAGATTTAGTAAGCTTGAAAAACATTGGACAACAACAAGGACATTATTTGTGAGGACAGAAGAGGAAACATCAAAGTCACTGTCATGTGAAGACAAGATTCTCCACCAGGGCATCCTTTGACACACCAGAGTAAATAGGCTGCTATTGAAAGCGAATTTAACAAAAGGAAAGCTGTGAGCTGTGCCTCTCTGTGTGCCTGCAGCCTGGACTTGGTGAATATTGTTTACAAAAATTGGAAAATTGGGTTTGCTCATCAGACTCAGCTAATTTTCCTTTGTAGGGTTTCAATAAATTTACGCAGGATTGAGTAAATAGATCTTGACGGACAGAGCGGCAGTATTATAGAATGTTACTCACAGTGATTAACCAATACTGAGAAAGTTCAGTGCTTTGGGTGGGGGTGGTTACTTAACGGACTGCAGAAACAAGATTCCCTTGAAGGGGCATGCCTGAAGCTGTGGCACCTGAAGTTCCCTCTGGGAGAGTCTGGCAGCTTTTTTTTTTTCCCACCTCCAGCAGTGGAGAGCCCCTTGCCTTCCCTGCCCTCTCGCCTAGGATAGTGGGAGGACTGTCCTGGGGGACTGATTCTCTTGAAAAGGTCTGCTGTTGGGCTGGGGAGATAGTTCACCAGTAGGGGGTCTGCTTTGCAGGGGACTGACCCAGGTTTGACAAGTGGTTCCAGGCACCACATAGAGTCCCGCAGTAAATCCTCAGCAGTAAATCTCAAACACAGCTGCTTATGGCCCCAAAACAAATGAAAAAAAAAAAAAAAGTCCAGTCTTTTGGCGAACTAGGCGTTTTCCCTTCTGAGTCCGTACAAATCAAATCGTTGCCTACTATTCTTCCCCCCTCCCTGGTATTTTTCAGGACTGCGCAGAGTTCCTTGGGTGAATTCCACGCGGCAGTGTTGAATCTATACAGGCTTACTAATTACAGAGAAGGTAAGTGGCTATTTTTAGCGCTAGAACTGTGAACACTTAAGAATTTGAGATGCTTCAGTAGGTTTCTGACTTTTCTCCTGCTTGCAAAGTCTTATCACCTGGTCCCTTAGCTTCTCGGTAATAGGAACAAGAGGTGAAGCCATTGGGAATTGTTTGCTTTCTGCCCTTTCAGAGACGTGCTTCATCGGTGATAGGTGGAGGAGGTTGGGCTGGAGAAGGCTGAAGAAGAGAATCTGGTTTTACTAGATTTGCCTTTATTTAGCACTTACCATCTGCCAGGCTCTGTTCTCCGACTGTGTGGTTTCCTTTTAGTTTTCACAACTCGGACATGGTTAATGCGTTCTACAGGTGAGGAAGCAGAGACTGTCTTGCCCAAAGTCAGCACAGCTAACTTTTAAGAGGCAGAGCTGAGATTTGAATCGCCTCAGTCTAATTCGGGTTCGAGTATCTGGTCTCCGTGGGGCGGGGAGAGAAGGCAGCAGCAGCTGAGATTGATCTTTCTGTTTGTAATCTCTCCGTCGTTGACATTTAGCATGATGAGATCATTACATGAAACTAAGGATTTAGTTTAGGAAAAAAATCCCGTAAAGACAAGGTGAATGGAAATAAGTTGATTTTTATCAAATACTCCCGTGAGGTCAGAGCAAGAATCTCGAACTCTATAAGCCACTAAGTTTTCAGGAAAAGTATTTCAACTCTGCTATCTTGTTGGGACTAAGTGTGAACAAATGGTTGTGTCTCTATCCCAGTAAGACTTTATTTGTATGTATTAAAACCAGAATTTTTTATAGTTTCCAGGTGATTTCCTCTTCCTCAAATTTAAAATGGTCTTAAAACCATAAAAACTGTTCTTAGCTGGAGGCCATAAAGAACAGGTGGTGAACTGAATTTCCCCCCAGAGGGCTTAGTTTGCTTACCCCATGCATTAAGGAAAAGTAGTTATCAGTAAGTCAGACAAATGAACATGATGCCATATTTCATGTATGTCTACGTGTTTATAGTCAGGCACACCTAGCCCAGTACCAGTAATGAAAAAATGAAATCTTAAATAAAAGCACAGTAGCATTAGCACCCTTCCCAGTGAAATTGCTACCATTGTGTTCGAGATGTGTATGAGGAAAATCTGTAATAGCAAGAATTTAAATAAGTAGAGAGGAGAGTTCTTGTTCTTAGATGAGCTATATTGTCAAGATGTCGGTGCTTCTCAACTTGCTATATAGTCAGAACATCCCAGTCAAAATCCCATGAAGTCACTTTGTGAATGTCAACGGATTCCAAAGTTCTTACAGAAGGCAGAAGTTCCAGAAGATGAGCCAGTATCGTAGTGAAGAGAGCAGAGTTGGGACTTGGCGCCCTCTCACTTCAGGACTTATTTATTATAAAGCAGCAGTGATCAAGACAGTATGATACCGGTGAAAGAATAGGCAGATCAGTGAGACAGAATAGAGATGCCCGGTTATAGATCAGCATAGAGTTATTTCATCTTTGATGAAGGGACGAAGGTAATACAGGGGAGTAAAGACAGTCTTTTCCGCTAGTAGTTAGGAAACAACTTGAGCGAGTGCGTGTAGACACAGACAATCGTTCATTCACAAATGAATCACAGACTTCAGTGTAAACGATAAGTTTAGAAGATCTCGGGTAAGCCAGTAAATTTGAATACTACATCAAAGCCTTGATCCATAAAGGAAATAATTGATACATTAGACTTCTTCCAAATCACCGTAGCAGGCCAAAGAGGGAGCTTAGAGAGTTGGAGTGAAAGATTGTGGGAGGCCCAGGTATGATCTCCAGCACTTCCCAGAGGGAAACGTAAGCACTGAACGTGGGGTAGTCACCGAGCACGACTGGGAGTAGCCCCAAACAAAAATCAAGTTGTGAGAAGCAGTATCTAGGTTCGAAAAGGTAAGCTAGAGACTGGAAGAAATATTTGCAGAAGATATATATGATACAGGACTAATACCCAAAATACGCAAAAGACTTTTATAGTCCAAGTAAATGTATTCTTAACCAAGCACTCCTTGCTAGTTACCCAGAGGAGTGGAAATTTTATGAACACACAAGACACCCTGTGGTGGGTGGGTGCTTACAGCAGTTGCCTAGCTTGGAAGCAACCCCCCGTGCTCTTCAATAGGTGACTGGATAAACTCACATCCAGATGATGGAATGCTCAGTGCTAAGAAGAAATGAGTGAGAGACTGGAGAGATCGGGTTTACGATGCTTGCCTTGCATCCCAGGGCTCACACCTGGTACCTCGAACACTGTCAGGGATCTTTCCTGAGTAGAGAACCAGGAATAGCGTCTGAGCACTGCTGGGGGTCAGTGATAACCTATCAAGCCCTGAGAAGGCACTGAAAAACCTAACATTCTGTTACTAAGTGAAAGAAATCAATCTGAAAAAAAAAAAGCTACAGCGTGTATGATTCCAGCTACATAATAATTCTAGGAAAGACGAAACTGTGGAGACATTAAAAAGATGTAGGGTTGGTGGGGGGGGGGGATAAAGAGGCAGAGCAAGGGTCGTTTCAGCATGGCAGAAGAGAGTCGCTCAGCTTTTGAAAAGTGTGTTTTATAAAAGTCCCGATTGGAGAAGCTGCCTGGGCTTGAGAGAGTGACGAGACTTGCCCCCAACCAAGCTGGGGAAAGGCAAAGGATCAGCACGGAGACTTGTGTGCCTAAGTCGGAAGGAGAAAGACCCGGTCTGGCAGTGCTCGGGTCACTGCAGTGAACTGAGGGAGAAGAAAAACAGATTTCGGTTCCATTTTGGATTAGCCAGTCTCAGAGAATTGCGTGGCCTTTGGCCGTTATTTGGAAGTTGGGTATTAAATGTCTACTTAGAAAGAATACCTATGTAGAAAATGTTAAGATATACATCACACTGAAGTACTAACCACGTGTCACGTTCCACACAATGTGGGCACTGCGGATCTGGTATACGGCAGAGCTGTAGTATATCATCGAGATTCAGAGAAGCCTGATTGATACTTATGTCTTGGCTTGGTATTTTCCCCTTGAAATAAGAAAGTGGAATCTGACACCAGCCTCTTAAGATACTGGATAATCAATCTAAGTCAGTACTGGTTCGCGTTTCTATTCCTGAAGAGGGTTTTCTCCTTCTTAAAGACTTTTGGATAGCTTTGCTTTCTTCTGCTGCATTCTAACTTAATGCTTCGTAAAGAAGAACTACCTTTACACTTGTACAGATAAATATATGTATGTGTTATATATAATACATGTACTTATATAATATATTTATATATTATACACACAGAGTGGCAGCCACAACTAGGAATAGTTATTATGCGGAGACATTTTTGGTCTTGGTAATGAATCATAATGAATCCAGTAAAAATACTGGGGGAAAAGTGAAAAATAAACTGACTCTAAAGCACGGAAACAAAAGCACGCTAAAATCTTTTTACCCAGTATAAGAATACAGAGCGCCTATTTCCAGTAGCAGATATTCACAGCTGCATTGTAATTTCGATCCAAAGATAGAATGATGTAGGCAGAAAATATAGGGAGAGCTCATTTTTAAATCTGGTACATTTTCTACATTTTAACTGCTAGCGTCAGTCCAGAGACATCTCTAGTTACCCCTGCATTATAGATGAAATAACTTACAGTACTAATATTTATTTGAAAGTCCGGAGGAAACGTGGCTTTGGAGAGTGCCCAACGCCCAGCTTGAAGCTTAATGGATGCACAGGTGTGGGCTGAGGGCTGTCAGAAGAGCTGAGACTAGAACCTTGCTGACAGGTTTTATAAGAACCTTCTTAATGGTGGTTGAATGCTGTCCAAATACGCATCCAGAATGCTTATGTATACCAGAAGTCAGTAACTCCTGTTCCCGCAAGTGGACCAGGTGAGGCTGATGTGTGCAGTGGAAGAGCCTGAGCAAATGCAGTGCCCTCGAGGGGGAGATGCAGGTACCAGCGGACAGCAGTCGCTTACCCCGTCCTCACGTCCTTGGCTCGCCCTGGTGAAGAAGCCCCAGTACAGGCCTTTCAAGAAGGCTCAGTGCTTCACTGGTGCTTAGTAAGAGTAAAGATGGTGAGGGTGCTGCCACATGGATTTTGTGAGGAAAGGATTGTTTGTGCCTTGCTCTGCCCTTAAGCTACCAAATAAATTCAACCTACAGACCTCAAATTGGTAGTCCTTGAGCTCATTGTAACAAATTGTGTTATCAATTTGGAGGGCCAGGGACATGGTTCAAAATCCATGCTTTGCGTGTTGGAATCCTTGGTACCTCACAGTCCCTGAACACCGAAGAGGAAGAACCCAAATAGCAAACCAAAAAAATTTTTTGAAAAATCAGCAAAGGCTGAAACAATAGTATATTACCCATTGTGTTATTTTTCAGAAAAGGAATCAGGAAGTAGCGTAAATTAACTGGTGCTTTTATCCAGAATGTATTCGTTGTCTCTCTCATTAATGCACTAGTTTTCCTTTCAAATGTTTGGAAATGGTAATTATAGTCACCATTCGTCAATTTTTTTTAAACTTATATATGTTTAATGATAGTCACACTGGTATTTATTATCATTATATTTCTTGCGCATTAGTACTTAGAATGGCTGAAGAAAGTCACTTTGCTAAAAGAAGGAATAGAATTTTCTCCTCCGTATGCCATGGAATGGGAGTAAATACTTGGGAGTAAGTTCTTTTGTTTTTGATTCGTGGGCCATACCCACCAGTGCTCTGGGCTTACTCCTGGCTCAGGGACGACGGGACCATACGCAGTGCCAGAGAGCAGCCCAAGCTCCGCTGCTTGCAAGACAAACGCCTTAGCCATGTCTCTGCCTTCCCCCCACCCCAGTGATTACAGACAGATTCTACGCTTGTTTGTTTGTTCCCATATTGGCAACTGTATCACTTTTGCACATCATTTTAAAAACACGTAATGCTAAATATTTAAAACAGCTATTTACAACAACACGAAGGAATAAATCATTCTCTAAATGGAAGTTATAGTGTGCTCACGATTATATCTAGGTCTCTGAAGAATACTGTTTAAGAGCAGTAATGGCAGTGAATTTAAAGAGTTGCATATAATACGTGATTATCTTTGTGTCGGAAGTTGTATTCAAAGGGTTTTCCCCCACTGATTTTGCACTGCTGTGTTCAGTAAGAGCTGAAGTATAAGTTATATAATAACGTTGCATCTTTCTCTGCTATTTTTTTTCTGTTGTTCCTGTTCCTTTCCTCACTCGGGCCTAGGTCATTTGAATGCAGTAGAGGGCAGCGTACCAGTTTTGGTTTGGAATTGGGTGAATTGCACTCCTGTCACGATACTCCGTACTTGAAGCCCTAACCTTCAACCACGTAATAACCTTGGATGACCCGTGAAATGGCGCAGGCTAACCCTGCAGAGTTACTGCAACAGTGGGGAACCGACTAAAGCACCTACTGTGCTAGAGACTTCAGACAGACTGCGTGCCGTGCCTCCACGAGCGCCCACTAACCAGAGATCGCTCACCCCAGTTGCCCAAACTAGACAACCCTCTCTTTTAATTCTTTTTTCCTGTTGGCCTCTTTCCTACTATTAATCACCCCTCCCAGACCCCCCGAGTCTCTTCTCAGATCACATGTACTCGGAATGTGCCCCTTCCACACTAACCCCTTTCGCTCACATCTGCCTTTCTGCCCGTCCTTTTCATTGTTCTGATAGTCCACTCATTTTTGTCAGACCAGCCAGGCGAGAAGCACTATGATCCCTGGCGTTACCTAACCGTGTTTGCTTCCTTGGCTCATCGCTTCTAATACGTTCTTCGTTTGGATCTGCCTCTTTATTTGTTCAGTGGTGAACTTTGGATCCTTTTGTTCAGAGTCAGCTAGTTCACACAGCGAGTTCTCCAAAGCAGAGGTCACGTGCATATAAACAGCTCTCTGTAACAGCCACTGGCTGGCAGGGTGCTCGCACTTACAGAGAAGGAGTTTCTTTTTTTTCTTTTTATTACAATTAACATCTTCACCTTTCCTGTTTGCTTCTAGGTTTTTTGGAACTTCAGTTATAACCATGGGGAGAATTTTCCTTGATCACATTGGTGGCACTCGTCTGTTTTCTTGTGCAAACTGTGACACGATCCTGACCAACCGCTCAGAGCTCATCTCCACTCGGTTTACCGGTGCCACTGGCCGAGCATTTCTTTTTAACAAGGTTGGTGGGAAAACCCTTTTCGTTTCCCCGGGGCCGTGTTGGTTCAGTTATATTCGACAGCAGTACCCGTCGGAGCTTGGGTTACCAGCCAGAACCAGCATGAGAACGGAAATCTGTAGAAATGAGGCTCCACAAGCCTGTCTTTGTTGGGACCTCGGAAAAGCGTGCTAGAATGTGATTTTATTTATTTTTTTAACTCAGGATGTTCAGAGACTGTTAAGAATTGCCCCTTGTTTCTGAATGAAAATACTGCATGAAAGAGTTTGGTAGTGACTTGGGTATAGACTATGGACAGTGAAGCTGCAGACCCCCATTCCTCTGTTACTGATTTATGCTTACAGGAAGATAGTTTGACAGTGCAAGTGAGTAAGGAATATCTGATGAACTTGCCCTAATTCATGTTCTGCATTCCTTTGATTGTGATTTGATTACATGGGTTCAAAAGTCAGGAACTTCTCTGCAACACAGAAACAGCTAGAATTGATAGGTGGGTGGTTTTCAGCCACTGGTCCGCACATCAGTGCCCGTGCACTGGTATCAAAAGGTTGGATGTCACAGGTCTAGATGGTGTGGCTTGGACTCGTTCCACCGGGCCTGGTAGCATTCCGTGGCTGATGCAGTATAATAATGTTCAGAGGTTTACCTGGCCCAGCAACTTCTGGAAATAGCTCTTGGAGACAGATTGTAGGTTGACTAACCACCTGCTATTTGCTTTTCTGAAGTTGCTGCTGCTGTCGCAAACAAAATACTCCGAGCTTTTTTTGGCAGACCATTTACCTGCCATTGCAATTTTGTTTTCACGTGTTCCTCAGGTAGTGAACCTGCAGTACAGTGAAGTTCAAGACCGGGTCATGCTCACCGGCCGCCACATGGTTCGAGACGTGAGCTGCAAAAACTGCAATAGCAAACTGGGATGGATCTATGAGTTTGCCACGGAAGACAGCCAGCGTTACAAAGAGGGCCGCGTGATCCTGGAACGGGCTCTGGTTCGAGAGAGCGAGGGCTTTGAGGAGCATGTACCGTCCGATAACTCTTGAAGAAAAAACAGAGAACTGCATCTTTTCCCAGGTCTCCTTCACTGAAACAAAAATCTACTTACATACACTGTCACCTTAGCATCAGAGTCGGATTCATGAACTGCGGAACAAGAAGTTGTGAGAATCTAAGATGGAACCTTCCTTCTTTCCTTTCTTCTTTTTTTTTTTCAAGTTTTCTATTTTCCATCCAACAGCAGTGTGTAGAGAGAATATTATGCAGATGCCGTTAATTTCCCCCCCGTGTTTACATCTCGAGGCAGAATAGTGTATTGGCAGCTAGACGGCGGGCTAAGTAAGGAGAAAGATCTGGGCCTTCGTGTGAAAAAGTGTGTTTTATGTCAATTTGGAAAGGAAAAGGTGTGAAGAGCATGGTTTTTAATCGTACTCGGGCTTCATTTGAAAATGTGTTTGAAACCCCAGTTGTCCACTTGATTTGCTAGTCTCAGAGGCGAGGTCCGAATTTGCGACGAGCGCTAAAGGTTCAGTGTTAGTGTGGCTTGTGCTGGCCCTTGTGCCATATTCTTGTGGGAGAAGAACCGCAGCACCGGAGCCCATTCTTCTTGTCAATCTTGACCCAAAGATGTCACCATTCCTAGTCACTTGTCACCGCGTACTTGGTGTTGATTGGAAACTCTTCCTGAGGTGGGGCAGAACTGCTTGGTTGTCTTTTCCATGTAACTTAAGCATAGTAATATAAATAAAGTAATAGTCGGATGTGTTTGGTCCTGTGTTGCTTTTGAAAATCACCTCTTAGGAGAGCAGCGTATTTGAGATGTGGTTTTCGTACGAGTGTTTCTTTTCATCCCGTAAGCTAAATCGACTGTGTAAGATATTTCTTTGTTTAAAAGCATACCGTTTAAACCCTCAGTGTTGCATCGAGGAGCTAGTTTAACATAACGTGAACGTGCATTCATGCAGAAAGCGTTTCATCTGCGTTTGTTTTCAGAGCAGGGAGAAAGGAAGCGACCTGTCTACAAATACCGTTCTACAAAGCAAAAGTTTCGGGTGTTTTCCTCCCCGTATTGCATTGTGTGCCAAGTCTGTAGCGCCTCGGAGCTTCCTCGAGGGATCGGGTCTCGTGAGCATTATGTTCTCAGCTCTTCCTGCGAGGTTCAGCTGTCATTTGAAACTGTACTTGGTCCCTTCGAGTGGAAAGGGACCCCATTTGACTCAGGGTGTTATTTCAGCCCCCCAATTTACCACATTATGAGGTATTAAAATGTAAATTGTTTCTTATTTCTAGACACTCTAGTATTTGTTTCTGGTAGGGAAAATAATGAGAGTAAATTTGGCTAATTACTTGAATAAATGGATGTTTGAGTGCTCCAATTTCTAGGTCTCTGTTTCAAAAGAAAATTGGACTCAGTTCGTAAAAATCTTGTCATTGAGAGCAGAAGTGATTTCTTAGTATTGTTAGTATTACGTTTGTCTTTGGGCTCTTGGTTAGAGGCATAGGTCTCTAGATGTATTTATATTGTGTTTGAAATAAGTGGACACAAAATGTTTGAGATAAGTGAACTAAAATTCTTCTCTTTCCCCACAAACTCAATCTTCCAAACAGTGAGACGCAGCATCCACTCCCGTTCATTTCCACACCAGCCTCTGACCCTATGAGATTCCTAGTAGCATGCCTTATTTTCAGCACTCTGTGCATTTGCTGTTCACAATAAAATCTATTTTGTCTTGCATCGGTGCAGTGCTGCTACTTATTTCCCACTGATACATGTCTAGTGATCATCTTGCCTTAATTTCTACTGTATGAACACGTAGATTGAGTGACAGGAGCTTGCTTCAACCGACAGTGATAGGTGACATTTTGGCTTGGTGTCTCTAACTTACACATAAAGATGATCAAATTTGTCAGTGTTCACTTCTTTGAAGTGGTTCTGCCTGACCACTGACAGTGTAATCAGTATGTGTGCACATGCTGTATGTGCGCAGTGAAATAAATGCCACGTCACTAGGACGACAAGCGGGTACCACGGCAGTTGGTCTCTTGGAAACCTTGCCAGGGGCCTGGAGACAGCACAGTGGTCCGTATGCAGGCGCCCCACCCAGGCTCTGTCCCCAGCCCCACGTAGCACCCTGGAGGCCCCCCGCTCTGCTGGGGTTGCCTGGGTAGCCCTGGTACCTCAGGGCTGGAGCAGCTCTGCATCCTCCGGCCCTAGCTGTTACTGGAGTATTCTCAGTGGGGCCACTCATCATTTCTGAGCCCCCAGCCAAACGAGAAAAATTTTGAAAATCATCCTGAAACACAGTGATCTTGAAGATCCAGTCACGTTGGGTTGTTTTTATAGAAAAGCAAACACACTCTTCTCATGAGGTGGAAAACCACCAATGAGAATGATTTTGTTTGGAGCTGGGAACATAATGTACTGTATTACTGAGTACTACTGTATTACTCTCTTCCTTAGGAGTCTTGAGCTCAAGCCCACTGACTAGAGACTTAAGAATCCCATCATTTTAGGGGACAGTGACCGTGAGTTGATTCAGTGATAAAGACCGCTAAGAGCTTTTATTTAAAGAAGATTCTGGGTATAAAGGTAGTTAATGAGTTAAGTTGATAGTCAGGAGGTAGCTACTTAGGGATCGGAGTGGGAAAATCGAGGTAGCCTGTTGGCTAAATTTCCCCACTCCTCTGAGTCACATGGGATGTTTACACGCAGGACCCGTGACCTCCGTGGCCTGACTCAGCCCAGTCAGTGTTCAGGTGAGTTTGTAACCCGGCAGGATTGGGAAACGACTGACTGTAAAACACATAATTACGATGTTTTATTTCCAAACAATTACAGAAACATCTCACTGTTTAGACATGCCACCAATTAAATGTCACTTTGGTAATTGGCTTCCCTCCAGAAAGTCACACAGAAGCAAGCTTTATCCTAATCTAAGAAAAGTCTGAATTGGGAATAGAGATAAAAAAAAAAAAAGACTTGTTCGGTGTTAGGCTAGCACTTTGCATTGATAGGAAGATGCAGAAATAAAGCATACCTAATGAGAAATTAGGACGGATGCTTATCCTAAATTGGATGGAATTCGACACGTCTTTATATTGAAATACTGGGGTTTCCCAAGTTGAAATGTTCATATCAGTGTCTTAAAGACATCTGAAGCAGTATTCCTCAACTGGGGCCCATGTTTGCTACTCCCTTGAGCCCCTAGGATATTCTCAGGTGAAAATCGCATACGTGGGGGAGCCATTGCATGAGACGCAGGGGCGGGGAGTGGGGTGGTGGTGTTTGTCAACTAGTAGGGGTGGTTTGTCGACTGATTGGAAGGAAGCCAGGGTGGGGGAAAGGTTGAGAAACTCTCTAAAGCTCTGTGAGTGCTGTGTGACTGCTCATCATTTTACCCAGGCTTTAAATAAGAATCATCTGTACTTCTTGGTCGGTTTGTTAAACCAGTTATGACCCCATTTGAATAACCAAGTCATTCAAATTTGGTAGTTTTTGTTGAAACAAGTGCAGGTAGAGACAGAGAAGACCTGAGTATGTCTTCGAGAGAGGCTTCTCCGGACTGGGCAAAGCAAAGAGACATAGAGTCAAGCCAGTGAGGTGTGTATTCAAGGGAGAACATGGGCTTGAATAACAAGCAGCAGATTTTTTGAACTGCCCAATTGCAAAGACAACATGACCGCTGACCCATGAGAATCACTATTCAAAGGGGTCTTCGGACTTGAGAACCTGTGTTGAGATGTTGCTTACTGGTGAAAGCAACTCTGCATCACAGATTTTTTTTTTTAAATTTTTATTAGCGAAACACCATGAGGTACAGTTGTAGACTTACAAATTTTTGTGCTTGGGTTTCAATTATACAATGATCAAACACCCATCCCTCCACCAGTGCCCATTTCCCACCACCACGGATCCCAGTATCCCTCCCACCCCCCAATTGCCCCCATCCCACCCCGCCTCTGTGGCAGGGCATTCCCTTTTGTTCTCTCTCTCCTTTTGGGTGCTGGAGCATCACAGATTTAGAGAGTAAGAAAAAGCAGGATGAATGTTTTCCAGCTGCTTAAATACTCCATTTAGATAATTTTACAGGCAAGAAAAGCCTTAGGGTTGGCGTGGGAACCCTCATCTAGTTTCCAGAATGAGCACTAGACTAGACATAGCTGGTGCTGGCTCAAAGGTTTGGGGAACTCTGAACCCTCATTTTCTCAAGCATCCATTGCCTACCTTAGGCGATTCTGGATAGAATGCAGTGAAAGAAACAGCCTAAATGTTTTTTTTGGTAAGCAGTGTGCGTGGAGGGAGCAGTTTCATCTGAAATAACCCTGTGCAGCTTAATTTTTCTCTGCATTAGAGATTGACCAGAATGCTTTTGAAGTTCTTTAAATCCTTCCAGGTGTTGCTGATGTGATGCTAAACCTCTAAGTAAATTAAGACATGGAATCTATTTATCAAATGTCACCATCGTGACCTTTCGCTATAAGGAATCTTCACAGTGTGCCACAAGTGACATTTTACTTTGCTTTCAAAACTCATCAGAGCTGTTATTGTCCTACAATGGAATAGAAAGAACAAAAGATAAAAGGTTCTTTGAATCTACCCTCTGCAGTAAAAAAAAAAAAGGTTTATAATCTTTCATTGTGCAATCATAAAGTTAGCAATGCTTAAGTTATGCTGGCTTTTTTTTTTTTATTGAATCACCATGAGTTGCAGTTACAAAGCTTTCATGTTTGAGTTTCAAACAATGATCAAAAACCCATCCCTCCACCAGTGCACATTTCCCACCATCGATGTCCCCAGTATCCTCCTGGCTCCCCCACCATCCCATCCCCCCCCCCCCCCCCCCCGCCTCTATGGCAGACAATCTACCCCCTAGTCTCTCTACTTTGGGGCATTATGGTTCGCAGTACAAATACTGGGCTGGAGCGATAGCACAGCGGTAGGGTGTTTGCCTTGCACGCAGCCAACATGGCCGACCCGAGTTCGATTCCTCTGCCCCTCTCGGAGAGCCCGGTAAGCTACCGAGAGTATTTTGCCCGCACGGCGGAACCTGGCAAGCTCCCCGTGACATATTCGATATGCCAGACACAGTAACAACAAAGTCTCCAATGGAGACGTTACTGGGTCCGCTCGAGCAAATCGATGAACAACGGGAGGGCCTATCACATTTGGCCCTTTATCTACTTTCAGCACACATCTCCCATCCCGAATGATCCCTCCAACCATCATTGACTTGGTGATCCCTTCTCTATTCCAGCTGCCTTCTCCCTCAGCTCATGAGGCAGGCTTCCAGGTATGGAGCAATATTGCTGTCCCTTGTGATGCTGACAGTATTTAAAAAGAAGTCTCACATACTGATCACACGCAACATTTTTGTAAGGAAAAAATTGCTCTAAGATCTGTGACAATTAGTTGATGAAAATAATAGCTAAAAATAAAAATCCTGGGGCTGGAGCGATAGTACAACAGGTAGGACCTATGCCTTGTATGCAGCTGACCCCTGTTCGATCCCTGGCATCCCATATGGTCCCCCAAGCACTGCCAAGGAGTAATTCCTGAGTGCAGAGCCAGGAATAAGCCCTGAGCAACACCCAGGTGTGACCCAAAAAGAAAAAAGAAAAAAGACCAACTTTTAAAAACAGAAAAGTCTATTTTTAGAATACTCCAAGAATTTCAACAAATACACATTGACTGCTTTTCAACCCCAATTCTTTCCCTCTGTTTGTCTCAATTTTACACTACGATTATTTCAGTTTGGGGATT